CCAATCCTATGGGGAAGTATTGTGATTGGATCAGGCTACCACTTCTGCTGATGTCAGAGGTCAGAGGAAGTTCACAGGCAGAGGCAGCAGCTCCAGACTTGAATACAAGTAAGATTTTAATATCTTTAGGGTGGCAAAGGGGGCCAGTGGGGCTAGATAGTGGTTTTAACCCTTTAGGGTCAGGGATACAAGTTTGTGTTCCTGACCCTATAGTGCTCCTTTAAGGACATCAAGTCTGCAAAACTAGCTATTTACTGACCCTCTCTATCAACTGTTTAAACAAGGTAATTACTTAAAATACATGGAAAAAATGTAGAATAAAAGTAATAAATTCCTTGTGTCAAATAACTCAGAAACTGCAACTTTCGTAAGTGGAAGTCATCTTGTGAAGTTAGTCAGAATTTAAGATTATCCCTTAACAAAAATAATAATGTGATAATTAATTTCTGAACAATCCCTAAACTCTACACACTACTATGGGAGCTAAAAGATTTTTGCTTGTTTTCTTAGGGATCCTCAAAGGTCCCTAGACACTAAAACTCACTATTGAGGATAGTTTTCCTAGAGTCCTCTGGTTCGTTCCTCCTGTTTAATGAAAACATAGGCCCACCATCAGGGGATTGGGGCACAGCCGATAAGGCTTTATGGGGCCCGTGTTGCCAGGGGGACACAGTGGTCCCATGTTATCTCTTCTGCCGAGATAGTGTCGCACCTTTAACTAGTCAGTATATATCAAGTCATTCTTAAATGGTTTAATATTAAATCACCAGGGGACTTTATAACTTCCTGTGCTTGTAAATTAGGTTAACTTCAAAGTAACATAAATAATAAAATAATTGTGAGTAAAATTTTGACAGCTGACGTTTTGGCTACAAATCTCAGTCTGAGTAATCATGTGTATGTAAATCATATGGCACTCATATACATCTAAAACTCTTTTATGAGTACCTCCCAGTCTCATTTTAAGTCCCTCTGCAAGTCACCCCTTGGCTGGGTATTTGGAAATTCTCGAATAAGTCTATAGAATGATTCATGAGCTTCAGTGAAGTCAGGTAAAGCAGGGACCTGGGAATAAGGACAGTTCTATAGCTGACATACATCCACACACATACATGCCAATATGATTCTGTTAATTAGATCTCATAAGACACTCTTTGATTCTTTTCATATTCTGGTCTGATTCTGAGAATTCAAAAATAGCACTTTTTCATGAAACAGTGTAACTGAAGCTCTGCGTGCAGAATCGGGTATTTTGGTGTTACAAAGATGAGAAAATCTGCTCATTAACCCCCTGGAATTTCATAATCAGGACCTTCACTGCATTTTTTGTCTCTTCGCGTCAGGTGTTGTTGTGAATCATAAGACATTTGTGTCAGTTATTGTCACTCGCTGTGTGAAATATTTTGGTGCTTTGTAAAATAGATGGGATAATAATGACAATGCAGCCATACAAGAATAGACCACATTGCGCTTTAATCAATTCATTAGGACAGGTACAGAACAGGCAAAAAACATTCTGGATTGAACTATAAAGCTATTTTTTTTATAACTTAAACAGTGGATCTTCAGTAATGTCTATAAATAGAGTAATAGAGTAACGCTATGGCGTTAGGAATACATGTTTGTGCTAGTTCGTTTTCCTTTATATAATAATAATTTAAATAAGGATTTGGTTGAAATTTTACAGCCAAATTATAATCTCCTGCTTAGACAATGAGGATTTTGTCAATAAGTTACGAGTAATTATTTATTTATTACTGGCAAAGCGCCAACACATTCCGCAGCGCTGTACAAGTGGGAAAGACAACACAATAAGAACAGACTGATACAACAGGTAGGATTCACAGAAGGATCAGCACTAAATAAAGTTACAAAAGATTATAGTGAATTATAATATAAGGCAGCACTGTTTAAAATGATAGGGGCTCCCTCTTGATACCCCACAGTTAGCAGAGAAAGAAATGCAAGGAGATAAGGATGCGCCTAAAGGGGATTGGAGTATTCCAAAATAACAATAAAAATATCCTATAAAACAGATAAAATACAATAAAAATAAATATTCCGGCTCCCGGCATGACTGTGGGTCACGCGAGGGAGCTGAGCTGAGCAGAGCGCTCAGGGGAAAGTGCTTCCTCACTCGCCTGCCCACCTGCCCGCTCCGGGGGAGCCCAAAGGTGACCAGCCAGCCAGCTCTTGGGCTCCCAGAAATCGAGGCAAACAAGGTATTTGCCGTAAGCCAAACAAGGCAAACAAGGCCTGATCTATACCCATTATCTCTCTCATGAGACCCAGTTCTTCATATTTCACAACCCACCCCTCAACTCCGTAAAAAGGGTTACTCCAAGCACCTTGACAATATTGGTGATTTGAAGTGGTCATGGTGCCTGGAGTCTATATGTGCACATCGTTTCGCTATGAAACTTAACCAATCTGCTGCTGGAGGTGTAACTCCATCTCCGGCAGAGTCATTACTGAGCCATTAGCCAGCCCAGAGAGTTTTGGCTATTTTAGCTTTTTTCATTTTTTTCTTAAACATTGTCTATTTTTTTTTGGTTAGAGTAACCCTTTAATATATGACTGCTAGTTTCTGTTTTTACACAGCTGATCACTTACCATATAGGATTTATTAAAAGACACTCCTGGAGGCTGGAGGTGACTGACAACCATTATTTTGAATGAGTTACTTGTTTCAGTGTTTCCTAATCTTGTCCTCAAGCTATGACTACAGTCCAGGATTTAGGCATTTCCCAGTCTTGTTCCTATGGAAATATTAATGAAACATGGGCTGCGGATGTGCTTTGACTTGATTGACAAACACTGTTATATAATGCTTTACAAATATGCAAAAAGTAAAAACCAAATACTCACCTTTGACGTTACTGCCTAGACCAGGAAGTGATTTAGACATTAGCAGTTTTCTTCCATTGTTTTAATAGCAGCTCAGCATGTCCCTTTAAAGGGAAACTATAGGCACCAAAACAAATTTAGCTTAATGAAGCAGTTTTGGTGCACAGATCATGCAGTCTCACTGCTCAGTTCACTGCCATTTAAGAGTTAATAATCACTTTGGTTTGTGTTTATGCAACACCTTCCATGGCTGTGACTCACAGGCAACATGAAAAAATTATTTACTTTGCGATCAGATGTGACAGCACAGTGTGTTTACGTTTGAATTTTTGCATCCTGCTCTGTTAATAGAACATTTATCACACGCAGAAGGCTCTGGCAGGCTATAAGCATAGCATGAGATAAGAACATAGCATGAGATAAGAAATTCTAAATTAAACAGACTATGCAACAGATGAAGTTTAAACATTAGATCTCTCTTTACAGGAAATGTGTAGGTAGACTGTGTAGGTCACATGCAGGGAGGCGTGACTAGGGTTGTATAAACAAAGTGATTTAACTCCTAAATGGCAGAGCATTAAGCAGACAGAATGCAAGGGTGTGATCTATAAACCAAAACCACTTCATTAAGCTAAAGTTGTTTTGGTGCTTATAGTGTTCCTTTAACCTATTAATTATCAGTGCATGGTTTGACAGTTCCATCAATCAGATATGAATAGGAATTCTGCCTAAGCATTGACGTATCATGTTAGTGGTAATAAATCAGTTATGGGTAGGCACTTTTATTATATTATGGTATTATTATGATAATACACTATATGTGATGTTTGTATTGTAGATGTTTTGGTTTATGTGTGTGGCGAAACCAATCTCGCCACTGGGCATTGGAGAAGCCTGTTTGCCCGCCTCCTGCCTGCTGACTATGGCCCTGGGAGATTTGGCCCTTTAAAGACATGATTTGGGCATAATGGATTTGTGGTTTATATATTTATGGGTAGGAATGGGTTACGTTTTGTGTAATAAATTGGTCATATTTCATCATTCTGGCCTTCCAATCAAATCATTTTGTTAAGGATTATTATTTGTTTGGCTTGTGTTAGCTGACAGTTTTCTTTCAAACGGGAGAGATATCTCTAACTAAATGTATTTACATTTACAGAGATTTTATTTTTAGAGATGATATTTCTCCTGTAATAAATACTTAGCCTTCTTCATTGTGTGTTCCCGATATGTATAGAGCGATTTGCAAGCTGTCGGGATGGCAGGCAGATTTCCTGCAGGGAGAACATGCTAGGAGTGCCTCCGGGGACTGGCATCATCGCCTGGGCAATGAGAGTATCTGCAGAGCTGTTAGCAAACACTGCAAGTGACACAGCCAGATGTGTGAGCTGTATGTAAATTTCCAGGCGCCCATCTCTGGGTCACCTCCAGGACCAGTGAAAAGTGACAAGATGTTGTGTAAGTCTGAGGTCCACGGCTAATTCCTTTAGACAGCTCTGGGTGTCTTAGCATAAATGAATCACACATACTGTTTGAGCTGAGGCTGCAGAGATGCTGGGAGCTTTATAAAGCATTCTAATTAAAGGTGCGATTCTACAGCTCTCTTCTAAAGATTCTGTAAAACCAGAGGAAGTATCTCCTCTGCAGCAAGGGCTTTGAAACACACATAACTTTATCTCAGGGCCTGAATGCAGTGTTCTTACTTGTTTTTGTCACGAAGATCAGAGCTGAGTGAAAAGTTATGTTTTCGCCTTTTTGTGGTAGCTCCCTAGAGAACTTTTATTTGTGCTATGTTAGAGCAGAATTGCTTTTTTTTGTGAAAGCATTGATGGAAAAGGTATTGCAGATTCACCTTCACCTCTTGCACTAATACTGGCTGAGAGATTTAAAGGCATACTGCAAGGACAATAACCACTGCAGCTTGTTATATTTGCTATGGCGCAACATAAAACAATTTTCAGTTTTATCGGTTTGGATGCAGTAGTGCATTTTAAAGTGGTATTCTAAACACCATAACCACTACAGCACAGTCCATGGCACAGAGAGGAGGTTGAACATATAATGATGAAGTTCTCTCTGGCATTGGATTAGTAGTAGATGAGGGACCAGGCTTTAGGTGGTGGAAGAGTAATGGTTCAAAAATGGTTTGGGAAAAAAAAACGAGTAAATGACATCCAAAAGCACTTTGCACCATAACCACTACTATGAGCATTAGAGGTGATGGTGCTTAGACTGCTGCTTTAATAGTGCACAAAATGATTATATCAGTCAGGGGAGTACCTAGAGCTTTTGGCACCCGGGGCGGATCCTAAATTTGTCCACCCCCCTCGCTCCCAACTTTAAAATGTAAAAAAAAACCCCACAAAATATTCTAATGTATTTAGCACTCAGTAATGTTTGTGTTGTGTATTTTTTAACTGAGCAGTGTTTGTGTCTTTGAATTTAAGCATCTTATGGTATGGAGTATGTGTGAGTGACTGTAAGGGTGTGTTTTTATGTAATGTTGACATTTGTTTGTAGTGTGGTTTTTGAATAGGTGTGTTTATATATAATGGTGGTGTTTTAATACAGAGGTGTGTTTGTATGTAGTTTTGGCATTTGAATGTAGGGTTGTATTTGTGTGTAGTACTGGCAAGATGCTGAAATGTATTCACATATACACATACACACACCCTGACACATTCAGATACATAGACCCACATATGCACACTGACAGACAGATACACAGACACACAGAGCTACACAGAAACACAGCTAAACAAACTGACACACAGGTACACACATATAGACACACAGTCACACACAGATACAGACACATGCTGATACACATACACATACAGACACATACACATACACACAGATATACACACATACAGCTGCACTGACACAGGTACACAGTGCGTATGTGTGTATTGTGGATGCAAAGTGTGTGTGTGTGTGTGTGTGTGTGCGCGTGTGTATAGTGGATGCAAAGTGTGTAATGGATGCCCTATGTGTATTTGATGCAGTGTCTGTGTGTAATGGATGCAGTGTCTGTTTGTATAGTAAATGCATTGTGTGTGTATAGTGGATGCAGTGTGTGTAATAAATGTATTATATGTGTGTATGCGTGTGTGTATTTACAGTGTATATATATATATATATATATATTGGATGCAGAGCATGTGTGTGTGTGTGTGTAGTGGATGTAGTGGTTATAAAGGTGACAGTGTGGTGGGGCAGTGTGCAGGAAGGTGACAGTGTGGTGGGGCAGTGTGTGTAGGACAAGGTGACAGTGTGGGGGCAGGGATTAGGGGTGTCGGTGTGAGGGGCAGGGTTTGGGGGTGACAGTGTGGGCAGTGTGTAGGAAGGTGACAGTGTGGTGGGGCAGTGTGTAGGAAGGTGACAGTGTGGGAGGCAGTGTAGGAAGGCAGTGTGTGGGGGGGGCAGGCGAAGGTGACAGTGGGGGCACAGGAAGGTGACAGTGTGGGGGCAGTGCAGGAAGGTGACAGTGGGGGGGCAGTGTGCAGGAAGGTGACAGTGTGGGGGCAGTGTGTAGGAAGGTGACAGGTGGGGCAGGGATTAGGGGTGTCAGTGAGGGGCAGGCTTTGGGGTGACAGGGTGGTGGGGCAGGAAGGTAACAGTGTGGGGCAGTGTGCAGGAAGGTGACAGTGTGGGGGGCAGTGTGTGGAAGGTGACAGTGTGGGGGGCAGGGATTAGTGTCAGTGAGGGGCAGGGTTTGGGGTGACAGTGTGGGGGCAGGAAGGTAACAGTGTGGAGGGGGCAGGGTTTAGGGTGACAGTATGGGGATTGGGTTTGGGGGGGCAGGAAGGTGACAGTGTGGAGAGGGAGTGGTTTGGGGGTGACATTGGGAGGGTCAGGGTTTGGGGGTGACAGTGTGTGGGGGCAGGAAGGTGACAGTGTGGAGGGGGTAGGGTTTGGGGGTGACTGTATGGGATGCATGGTGTGGAGGGGAAAGGGTGTAGGAAGGTGACAGGTGGGTGTTGAGGAGACCAGGTCTGATGAACCGTTTTTTAAGTGGCTTATCCCACTCACCCTGCTTCTTACTTGAGAGTCCGAAAGGGGGGACATTACATTTTCCTGGTGGTCCGGTGGCACAGCAGACTGGATTCTAAAGAGAGGGCCAGGAGTCTCCGTATTCAATCTATATCAGCAGCAGCTTCTCTCGCATCCCACTCCGACATGCATTGAACCCCACAGAGCGTTTCCATTGAACCCGTGGCAATGCTCACATGGGATGCGAGAGGAGAGGAACTGCTGCTGATATACATTGAACACGGAGACTCCTGAGCGTCAGACACAGGGGCGCAAAAGCCTCCCCTGTCCAATTGCACCCCGTACACCCTCCTACTGATTGGCAGCCCACCCCCGCCCCCAAGTACACCACTGATATCCGTTGTGTTTTCAATTTTTAAAAGATTTAGCTTTTTGCCAAACTGAAATCTGTGCTGGCACAGGTCTGGCATCAGATGCAAATTCAAATGCTCTTGGCCCTTGACTATGCATAGACAGAGATGGGAAGTGAATTCCCAGTGAGAATCCGAATGATGAAACACCACTACATACAGCTAGCGCAATTGCTCATTTTAGCATTGCTCCAGAACATGAACTACTGAAATATATTCTAGAGTAAAAGAAAGAGAAAACATCGCTATTGTGCCTTATTCCAGAGCAAATAGGATTATCTGCAAAAAAGAATCTGTAAACAATCTAAAAGCATGAGTTGCTGCAATTGTACGGTGCGTATAGCACAACAGAATTATGTAATGACTTCCCAGTGACATGGCCAGGCTTAATGACATCATCGTGGGTGGAGCCAGGCACGTGGTATCTTGCAAGTGTGAATACCACAATTTTTTTCTGTGCTGCACCAGTAATTATGCATGTTCTCTTTTTTTATTTTCCCTAACACAGAGAGAACAGATGGATGTGGAAGTCATTCAAATGGTTTTCGCTTGATGTTACTGTATTTGTTCTCTGAAATGATTCATTTAGTTCTAGAAGCTTTGTAAGCATTTTCTAAGCCCCAAAGGCCTCTGGGCTGTGTTTTTGATTATCCTTCTGTTTACTGAGAGCTGTGTTCTCTCACAACAGATTCACAATCTCCAGGATTAACGCCTGCCATCTTCAACGTTCATGGTAGCTATTCTTACAATTTATGATTTTTTAGAATGCACAAATCGCCACAAAACACCTACTGACTCCTTCTCACCCAAAAGGGAGATTTGTTCTCATTGTGAAGGTCATACAGGTTTGTGCATTAGCATTCCGTCGATGTTAAAACCATTTTCCATGGATTTACATCTGTCTTAAATCACCTAATTTAAAATGTTTTGCATAGCAGTCAAAAAAACTTCAAGTATTAACTATCTGATAACCAAAAGAGCAAGATACCAAGCCCTCTGGCACAAAAACCAGGACATGTGTAAAAACCTATTCAATTAAATTCATTGTTTTATTTTACATTCCAGTTAACACATATTTGATTGAGGTAAGAGGGTGCAGGAGGCAAAATCAGAGGCAACTGGTGTATTAAAAGATGTTGCATTTAGCAAAAATTCAGGTTAATTTATCTGGGTCATGCCGTATTGTGAGTGGCTGGAATTAAAGGGACACTATAGTCATCAAAACAACTTTAGCTTAATGAAGCAGTTTTGATGTCATACAAATATTCTCACAGCATAGATCACGCTGCTGCAGTCTCACTGCTCAATTCTCTGCCACGTAGGAGATAAATCACTTTATTTATACAGTCCTAGCCACACCTCCCTGCATGTGACTTACACAGCCTTTCTAAACATTTCCTGTAAAGAGGGATCTACTGTCTAAACTTTCTTTATTGCACATTCTGTTTAATCTAGAATGTCATATCTCTTGCAGTGTTAATAGCTTGCTGGACCCTGCGGTAGGATATACAAACCTCTAAATTAAGTTAACATCTGATTTAAAATAAAACTTTTTTTATGCAGGCAGTGTCAGTCACAGCTAGTGGAGGTGTGGCTAGGACTGCATTAACATAAATTACAGTGTTTTAACTTATAAATGGCAGAGAATTGAGCAATGAGACTGCAGGAGTATAAGCTATACACTAAAACTGCTTAGTTAAGCGAAAGTTGTTTTGGTGACTATAATGTCCCTTTAAATTCTGCCAATCAAATTACTTGTGAGGGCCAGAGAGAGGATTTATAGAGCATATAAATTTGTATCTAGTTCTAGACTTTATGCATTAGCATTTATGTTTCTAGCTGGTAGTTTAGCAAGAGTTCATTTTTGGCGTTTAATTTTAAGCAAGTCTTAGTGTTTGGAGTTAATTTATGTTAGAAAAAAGATGAGAACACTGAGTTGACTGACTAATGAAGATTTAGAGACTATAGTTTTTTTTAATGTTATTAAAATTATTGAAAACTTATAATTATAATAATAATAATAAAAAAGTTTAGATGACTAATTATAGTTTAATTTATTTTATTTAGCACATATACTTGTAACAGTGGTATTGGGGACATCGTAATCAGCTCATATATAGGTATGAAGAATTGTTTTGTATTGTATTCAGTTAGATAAATATATGTTTTTATGTTTATTTTTATAAGAAGCACAATGTGTCGGAATGGGTTAAATCACTTTCACGACACAAAGTAGAAGACAATCCTCATCAGCCATGACACAGCAACATAGCATGCTCTATCTTTTCATAAAGAATTGTAAAATCTCTCCGTATGAATGGCAAAAGGTGATTTTGTTTGTTTCTTGAAGTCTGTGTATGCCAAACATTGTGACAAGGTGAAGCCGTACGCTTTCTGCATTTTGACATGTTTTTATGCCCTCTGAAAAATGTTTGCGATGAAGTCACCCATGTTATTGCTCAACCCAGAAAGGACCGAGACTTGATAAGAAGTATTTGAAAATCTTGAGATTTTTGACATGTTGGGCTGGAGAGCTGTCTGTTTTACTCGGAGATATTAAGTTTGGGATTCAAATTGTTTCAATGGAATTTCCACTAGAGAGACACAATATCTAAATATGTTATAGATGAATGCAACCATTTATAAAACATACTCAAAACTAGTTAAAAAGACAGAGGAGTTAAAAAGGTAACCTGAAGTTGTTTATACATATAGACATATACAGGGCTATTTACTAAAGTGAGAATTCAAAGTAAATTAAGACCAAAGTAGCCAAACTGAACTGAAAGTAGCTAAAATGATTGACAGGCAGCCTGGTGTGTGTTTACACTAGTTAGACCTGCCAGTTATGACGGCAGACATGCCTCCTTTTTGGGTGGCTCCACCTTATTTTGGGACACAATTGTATCACTGGCCCGCCATCTTTACCTCCCTCCCACCGGAATTCCGATTCTAGGACTGCCAATATTGGTAGATATGGGCTGAGGTCACCTAAACACTATTGTGATCTACTGAAATAATGGATACTAATTGTACACCAAGATCTTAATGTGTTTATTCCCAAGGGGTGTTTGTTACACTTTTATTTTATTTATTTTTTTCGTATTTTCTTTGGGACTTCCCAAGAGCACCCATAACAAGCAAATATCTTTATTCCGGGTGTAGAGGACTGCAAGTAAAATGAGAACCTCTATCATGATTTGCAGATGTTGGTAACAGACAGATGTGATCGGTTCCAACATGTTATTAATCAAACATTCTCAAAGCTATCCAACATGGTAGCTTGCGTACCAAGCCTGTATCACAGGAGATGTGTCATATAACTCCCTATTCTGTGTTAAAAACAATATATTATGTTATTGTGGGATGATGGGATATGATTATATGCATATTCCAGTTTTATTTAACATATATAAATGATAAAATACCATACCAAGAGAGAAATTAAAGTTACATTAAGTTAATGAAGTGAGATTTTATTAGCAACCATGTTGCAAATTGGAATTCTATCCCACTTGACATAATACATTGTGTTTATTTGTAATTGTTAAATACTGTGTGGGAAGAACGTTGCCCTACTGTCTGCTGTTCATTAAAGAAGAACTATCACTTTCTACATTTTACCACAGCCTAATAGCTGACTAAAAGTTAGTTACCGCTTGTGCTATTTTTAAAAAGAATTCTTTATAGTGTATTTGAATATACATGCTTAAGTATGCAAGCTGGTTCGTTCTTGAAGTGCTGTATAATGGTGAATGCGTGCAAATGACACAGTTGGAGAAAATGCTGAGTGCTCGCATGGCATTGCTCCGTTACATGCCCAAGCGCACTGTGCACACCGCAGGCGTCTGGCAACGGCAAAGGTGCCGCAACGTGGAGGTACAGGGGAGGTAAGTGCTTTTATTTTTTTTACTAACCTCTGCTTCATTATTCAAACCATTATTTACTAGTCTGAAGAGATAAAAAAACTGAAAATTCTGGAAAGTAAAGTAACATTCTGGCGTTAACGGTACATATCTTAATTTCTAGATGTATTCCTCTTTTTATATAGAATATTCTATCCCTCATTTAAACTCACCTGTAATCAAGCAAGGACATACACTCTTCGCTACAATCTGGCCACAATGAGATCATCAATGCTGATCATCTCTTTTCTGTTTCCTTATTTCTGTTCTTCTCAATGAGAAGCATTAGCCGCATTTGGGGTTATCATCCTGCGTGCGATAACACTGAACACGAAAGGTTTTGAAAATTGCAGGTGTTGAAGCAGGAAGTGCCTGTAGTGGCTTTCTTTCTGGCAGTCACTAGAGGCACATTTCAACCAAATGTAAACATTGCTCTTTTGAAGAAGTGACAGTGTTTTATATTGTATGATAAAAAAGACAGCAACTATGCACAAAAACTCTAGATGAAGAGGTTCTGATGCCCATTTAATTGGCAAATAAGCAGGTATTTATACAATTAATTGCACTTTGTCAGACAATTTTGAACTTGGTATCTTACTATGTATTAAACCCATAACCATTGTCAAAATGTAGATTGTTCAAGCCGTGCACCAACTGAAGTGCCCTATACATTTATCATCTAAATTCTCTAAGTCTAAAGTTGAGTTTGGCTTCTCTGGTCTTATATTTAAAATTATTTTTAATTCTCACGTTAGTAAATAATCTAGTTCCTCCACCCAGCCCCCTTTTTATTCTCTCTATGTTTTTGTTTTCATAGCAATTACTTTTGCACCATAGGCACAATGTTTCTGCCCCTCCCAGCTAAATAACCCTTTCCATTTTTTTTTCTCCAAAATATAGCTGTATGTGAGGCCATGACTTACTTCTAGGATATCCTTATGTAGATGTTGATGTGAGGTGTTAAAGGTACAACATAACAGCTGAATTTCATCTCCCAGAATCCTTGCAATGGCACTAAAGTTCTACTTATGGGTGAAGCTTAGCAGTGCTATATCAAATTAAGTGAGTACCATGATTGGCTGAGACATTTTCTGTTTTGAAGAGAGCCAATGGCAGAACTTGCAAAACACAGATATTTGTAGTCAGTTACAGTACAATTATAGATCCTATCCACTCATTTCCACAAGTGTTGGCGAAGTTGGACAAGCTTAGTTACATCTCCAATTTTAAGGTACATTTAACCAAATGTGAAATATTGAGTATAAGCATCCCAAAAAACAATTAAATCTTATATACTTCAAACATATCAATTTTTCTGGACTTTGGAGGGTCTCAAATATCTAAAAATGCATCTTATCATATAAACACCTAAAAGATGATGATACTTCCAAGATCATTTTTTATTCCCTAATTCTATTATTTATTATTTATTGGGACCTGAGAAACATCTTACCATGTTGGATACGTTGAGCTATTCTCAGATAACATGCTTTCTTAGGAAGGAAGTGCTACCACATTGGACAAACAGAGATTTTACCCCTTTTGAACAGCTATCTTATCCTCTGAAACAACTAGCTAGTTTCTAAATGATATTCTTTATTTTAAGAGGGTCTCCCGGATGTGGAGTTGTCCCCTTCCAAAAATCTTGGGCATCAGGGTTACTTAATCAACTGACTGAAAAAGATTGGTCAGATATTCTTCAGAATGCTATGCGTACATCGATAAGCCAGGGTGAAAGAGGATCTTTTGACAAACAAGTCACTAGAGCAAGCATGTCAAACTGAAAGGCTAAGACGGGCCAAATAAACAAGGTTTACGTTTATGTGGGCCACAAAAAAACAAAAGCGTCAGTTTTCATAGAAACGTAGCTTTATTTTGAAAAGTACAGTATAAAAAAGTTGCCTAACTGACACTGGATGTCCTCATGCTTGTCGGGCTTTAATGTAAAAAAAAGAGCAAATTTATTTTAAGGAGATGTGCATTTGCATATAATCAACGTTTCAGTCCAACTACCTTGACATATTAAGAAATGTTTGGAAATGGGACTGAAATGGTGAATGTATGCTGGTGCACAGCTGTAAAAAAAACAATTGACGTTATCTTTTTTATTTTGAACTTCTATGAGTGTGTTCATCTCCCTCCACTGTTATACACTGCCCCCTTCACCCTGTCTAATACATTGCCCTTTAACCCCTTAAGGACACATGACATGTGTGACATGTACTGATTCCCTTTTATTCCTGAAGTTTGGTCCTTAAGGGGTTAATCTAATACACTGCCCCTCCTCCCTCCGCTCTAATTGAATAGACTGCCCCCCACCACTTTAATACACTTGCCCCCTCCCTCAAATACACTGCCCCTTTGAGACTAAAAACTGTTTAAAATTATTTAAATTATGCAACAATAATAATAATAATTTACTTAAGGTATTATCTTTAGGAGAAGGGCATCAAATTAGCACATTGGTGTTTGTTTATGGCTGTGTGTAATGTGTTATTTCTTTTGCCATTTTATACATGATTTATTTTAATATGACTAGTTATAATGAATAGCTCTTTTATTCTTAGTAAAGTTGTTACAACTACAGATGATAAATAATTAAATTAAATACTTTGTATTGTTGATGCTAATTATACATTGTTTAAACAGTCTAGTCTTTTTTTTGATAGGTCATGCATATATTTTTCTTTGTTTTTGTATTGATAATAAAAGTACAATAAACATCAAATTAAGTTAAAAAAAAAGTATGTGTTTTATTTATTATTTTTTTCCAATATTTTATAAAACATTAACTACATGATACAATAACACACACAATCACAGACATATACAAACACACACACACACACACACACACACTTTTTTATTTATTTTAAAGAGGTCCACTCAGTGTCTCTACCTGTGCCTGGTTGACCTGGAGTGGATCCTTTCACTGGTATCCAGTGGAGCTTCTGTGATCACTGGGCTGTTCCTGAACAGGTCCCACCCATGCCTTTTAGGGATGTTGGGTCCATTGTGAAGTCATATTCTGTCAGCTCACAAGGGTGTGCAGGTCAGCTGTGCAAAAAGAGCACAGTAATATCATAGCTCCCTTGTTACCTATTCACCCAAGCCCTCTCCCCCCCCCCACCAGTGTACTTGGGCATAGTAGGCACCTGCCATTTAGATAGACTAGAGCCTACTCTGCCTAGAGAGACCCTCAAAAAGATTGGGAGTGTGGGGGATAGATGCGGCCTCATTAATGATTTAAACAAACTCTGAGATTCTTCTTCAATCTTCACTTGCAGATACGAAATACATTAATTAGCTATGATTATCTATATGTTCTACATGTTAAATACAGACATTAGAACAATAATATGAAAATATATTTTCTAACAACATATTTTCAAACAATAAGCTAAGTGGAGAGGTTTAGACAACTGAACCCTGTTGAGAAAGTCAGTAACTGCTGCCGTGAATAGCTGAACTCGAGGGGCCTCGACCGAGTTCTGTCACAGCATGCTCCTCGGCTTTGAGGTTAATGGCGATTAAACTGGGCTGAAGCCGGAAGCATTGGGAGTTATATGAGGGCTTCTTACTCAGGAGGAAACGAGAAAGACACCTAAGAGATAATTATGACCATAACAAAGCATGTTTATACAATAGAGGATGAATGGCTATAAATTAAAAAGGGAATTCAAAGAATTTTAGAACAAAATAAACAAACTGAATATATAGCGGACTTGCAGATTTTTTTTTTTTCAGTTTAGCACCAATTTAACTCTTTTGGCAATAAATTTACTTTAAACTTACAACAGTTTACAAGTGTCCATAAATCCCTGTAAATTATCAGCGGAACAACTTATGTACGTTGTCTGCTTTTTCTTGGCAGAAAAACACCAGGATAAAAAACAACAAACAATCAAAAAGAAGAAAACAAACAAACAAACAAAAAACATAAAACATCAAATAAAGTCTTGGGACAAGTAGATTGAAATAATAAAAATAAATAACAAAAAAATAAAATAAAAGCAAGACATTCTACTATAACCTTTCAGAACACAACATTTTTATACCTAACCCCCTACGGCCCTTTGAGATGCTAGGAGAGAAGTTGTGATTTCTGTATAAATATAAAACATTACATTTTACACCAGAGATCATTCTTAAACAGCAAACGGACAGTACCGCATTCAGTAATTATAAATGATACCACATTTTATTGAAATGAATCTGAATGGCAAAACTAAGACTAAAATATCCTGTTTGGAAAAATTCTCCAACTCGGAGATAGTCACAGCTTTTAGCATTTAGAATTCAAAATTCAGTTTTAACTAGATAGATTAAAGCGAAACTCTAGTGCCAGGAATCCTGGCAGTATTGCTTCCCCCTCCGCCAAATCCTTGTCTCCCTGTGGTGCATAAGGGTTAAAAACTCCTTCTGCTACATACCTGGGTCCAGCGCCGATGTCCCTTGGCGTTGGCTCAGGTCCTCCTTCACTCCTCCCCTGCCAGGTCAGCGGAGGAGACCTAATGCCCATGTGCAGCAATGGCCGCGCTCGCATTAGCATTTCCCAATAGGAAAATTATTCAATGCTTTCGTATGGGGATTCCGGTGACACTGGAAGTCTTCATGCATAGCCTGAGAACGACCAATGTCATTTAGTCAACCATATGTTGCCTAAAGTCCACTAGAGGAGGAGTTCACCATAACAGGTAATTATTGCAGTTTATTAAAAACTAATAAATAATTACATGCTCAGAGTTTTAAGGGTGACGGAACACTGCACACAGACCACTTCAATGAGCGGAAGTGGTCTAGGTGCCTTCAGTTTCCCTTTAAATCTTCTACTTTCTTTGAAAAGTGCTATTGATACCATGAATGCACTAAATGCATTAAAAACATTGCTGTCAAAAAGTGGTGCTTTATTTTAGAGACAATGTAACAACACTGCATTAATAACAAGGACCTTCATTATTGCTTTTTAATACCATTACTAGGGATAGGGTTGTGGGTACTTAGCATTGGAGTGCAAAGGTTTAAATCAGAACTGTCACGTGTCTGGGATTTACACTACTCAATACAACTTGAGTTTAAAAGTCACCTTTAACCTTTTTTTTAATGAGATGCAAATATTGCAGATATAGTGGCGAAAAATAAACAATATATAAATAGAGACTATTAACCTCCTCCTCCTCTTTTTCTCTCTCTGGATACTTTTTTTTTACTTGATCTGTGAACCAAATAACAGGAACATGCGCTTATGAGTGCAAATATAATATAAACATAAAATTATATTGTGCATATATTTTGCAGCACACTGACTAGACCATTTTTGCTCCCTATATGGTTTATCTGAATTGTTTTCCTGAGTGTCAAACTAAATTTCATTTATGGACAAAATGCTTAGTCTGAAACCAATTTTTCTGCCGTCTACAAGTCTATCATTTAGGATTTGCATGCAGGACGCTTTGGGTTTAACTCCTATCTTTCTCAACCAGATGATTGCGTTGGTCATTATTATAGAACGCGTTTCCCTGGTACAAAACATTTCAGAGGTTCAAAAGTCACATTCTAATGCAAAGCCTGTATAAAATTTATATTATTGTCCCGCATTCTCAAATCACTAATATAGGTGCGATACAAAGTTAGAAAGTAGAGTGTATGTTTAAAAGGTCACTCTGTTATAACTGAACCCACCATCTTACAGTGGAGGCTGGTTCCTAGCGGCAGATGGGGCAGCACACCCATAGTTTTTGTTGCAAAACTCAAATCTTTTGTAATGACGAGGACTGAAGATAATTCACTAAAGAGGTGGCTTCACTGACGACTTACAGTCAGAGCTGTGCTAGTGCCTTAATTGTGAGTGCTTATATTATACTCTCGTTCTTAGAACGCTGGAGGGTATCTGCCCTTTTAGAGGGCAGTCTGCACCTGCTGTTCTGTAAGGACAACAAGACAGGTGGTCATGGCATTCCCATTTATCTCCTACTTCTGATGCTGAAAGAGCTTCTAATTATATCAAAGAGTTGTTTTCTATCATGAAATGACCATTAGCGGGTAATTCAGAGCTAATGATGTGTTGCCTAACAACAGTGCTTGCTCTGCATTGGTACGAAAGCATTGACATTCAGTAACCCTGGAAGGCAGAGAGCGATGCCACCCTGAGTTATTTACAGATCTAAACTACCACTCTTTCCTATTAAAAAAAGAGAAGAAAATTTAAAAAAAATTATGTTTCCATGTCGCGCAGTCTGTGCAATTGTTACAGGAGGGATTTTTTCACTTAGTGACATGTATTTGTTTCAGTGCCATACTGCATGTATTTGGCCAGCTTTGCAATCATTCATTTTGTTTTGGAACTGAGTATATGATATTAGAATCTTGAAGAGTATTCTTGTTACAACAAATAGAATGTTCTGAGTAACAGATCGTCATGGCACTGGAAACTTAGGAGAGGGACTTCTGGTAAAGAAAAATAACGGTTTATTCAGCAACTACAAAAGTATAAAACATATACTAAGATATGTAACAGGGTTGATGTTCCAGGAGGGATAAGCCAAATGACAAATTATTTAGGTAAACTAGAAAAATGGTCAGAGTTGTGGCAACTGACATTTAATGTGGATACGTGCAAGATAATGCATATTGGGCGTGAAAACCCAAGGGCAGAGTATAGAATATTTGATACCCTACTAACCTCAACATATGAGGAAAGGGATTTAGGGGTGATTATTTCAGATTACTTAAAGGTAGGCAGACAATGTAATAGAGCAGCAGGAAATGCTAGCAGAATGCTTGGTTGTATAGGTAGAGGTATTAGCAGTAGAAAGAGGGAAGTG